GACCACCCGATGAAAGGAGATACCGATCGAGAACGAGGTCAGTAGAGAATACTATCCTTATCCCCGGCTGTACGACTGATAAAGGACTGCATTCTTCATTCTCCACTACATCTCTTCATCGTGGTTCGGCCGTTAATTAAAATCAACGGAACCCAGTCCGATCGTTCGTTGGACTGGACCGAAAAGTGTTCTTCAACCAACGGATCCGAAGAAGAGTCTCTGGAGCCGTCGACGTCCCAGCGACACGCGGCGACGAACGGCTATGACCGTGAATATACCCGGGGCCGTACACGTAAGTGTCTGCAGTTTGATGCACATGAGCGATATGTGTTTTCTCCGTACGACGTCGCCTTAACTCTCGTGTCAAGGACAGCGAGTCGAAGGACCGCGCGTGTCAGGCCACGTATCTATAGGCTTTTCTCCGAAAATGAAACGTAAGATGCCTCTCTCGAACATTAACGTCCGTTGCCGGTCGTTTCATCTGTTCTAGCAGGTCATTTCCGTTCCGCCGATCGAAAACGGGCTCGAATCACCGTCACGCACGGCCGGGAAAAATGGCGAATCACGGCCCGCCCGAGAAAATTAGAAAGATTTCTGTTCGAAAGAAATCGCCGCGCGCGGGCTTGCTCTCCCGGCTGGCTCTGAATTATGTCCGAGGCGAACGCCTGGCAGCGAGATACGAAACTCTGAACGAAGAACACCAATCAGGGGCGTGAGCATCGTTGCGTGCCAACACGTTTTGCTTCACGGAGCGGGGCAAAAGGGAGGTAAAAAATGGCAAAATAACGAAACTCGAAGCGTCGTTCGCGAGGCGGTTCTCGACGGCATATTTTCGCGCGGTAAGGGTCGAAACACGATGACGCAGCCTACGTGATGAATATTCGGTCAGCTCGATCGAATCGCGAGTAAATCACCTTGGATTTTTTTTTGTTTCTGATAACAGAGAATTAAAGCGGGATTACTTTTAAAGTAGGAAGATGGAAATTTGTTTTTGAATAATTTGACGATCTTTAAGCCAGGTTTCACGTTAATCACGAGGATCGTCGGTCGTTGAAGGTAAAGTGCGCTATGTTTGATATAAAACAGAGTGACATGAACTTCCGAGCTTTGGCAAATGTATCGGAATCGATAGGCATGGCGATAATGGTTGAGTGCCACTGCACGGGTACAGTACGTAGTAGTAGTAGCTTGATTACTGGACAATGGAATCTAACGAGACGGGGTTGAAGACTGTCTTATTGATCTCGCGAAAGTGGAAAGCATAATAATGGTACTGTCCATTCATGATTTAGCAAAACATGCATGGGCTCCAGCTTGAATTCTTTTAAACGAGTTCTGTCTGCGCCGCCATTAACAGCGGACGGGACCGATCGGCTTTGGTTCGTAATTAATTAAAAGAAACGCGGAGCTGGCGATGACTGTTTGCGACCGACTAAAAACTATCCAACGGTTTAACGATTTTCTACTCTCACTGTAATCGTATCATGGTATAAAATTTCTTTGGTATAACTTTCAAAAAAAAGGAAAACAATGTCTAGGTGTTCATTTTAAAGTGGGGAACGGTTCTTCACGTGTTTTCGGCCACGTTGTAGAATTTCCCGATACAATTAATAGTAGGCTTAAATTTGGCTCGTACTCAAAACACGGTACACTGTGCAGGTTCGTCGTCCGACGTTATACGATTCAAATAGCCGGCCAAGCCACGTCGGAAAAGTGCAACGGTGCACGCGCATACTAATGTATTCCAAGTGCTCCAAAAAACTAACGTTACGCCGTATCGTTCCACAATCTTCCCCAAAAAATTAATTACCAGCTCCAAACACGGTCTCATTCTTTTTTAAAACAAGACCATATTTCATTTTGAACGAAAAAAGAACTATTACCACTGCAACCTCAATTAAACACCAGAACGATTTTACATTTTTCGTTCTTCTAAAAATGAATTTAAGAGCTCGAGCGTGCGCGTAGACGGTTGAAGACCATTGACAGGGAACTTTCGTAGAGTCGATGGTATCTCGATTGAAAATTAAAGTGCGTGAAAGGGAAAGTGGACATTTGAAACGCGAACGATTCCTTCAGTCGCGAGTGCACCGTTATTTATAGCGAGTGCCGGCAAGAATCGAGAACGAGGAAGGAGAGCATGAAGGAGGAAAGGGAGCATCGCGCATCGTCGGGGCAAACCGGTGATTCCTCGGCGTGTGCATGTGAAAATCTATGGCGCCATCTCAAACGTACTGTGAATCTGTAGTATCGACGAAAGGTTCGTCGATCGGTAAAGCAGAAAGGAGGAGAACTTTAAATGGTCAAACAGGCAACTGTAAATGGGTAAGAACGGAAGGAAGAAAGGGTTAACTTCCGACGGATACGTAGGAAAACACGTAACCCGGTGAACGGGGAAGTTCCACCGTCGGTAAAAGCGATTCGACAAGATCGGCCAGCGATCGCAAAATGACGCGCGACGAGGAGAAAGTCTGGATCGCATCGTTACTATTGCGACTATTCATTTCACTTCGTGAATGTATTTTAAAGACGACCAAGTTATCTTGCTCCTCCGACGAATACGAAACATAGTGTATCGATTGACTTCAGACCATCTTACAATTTGAATTTCGGGAACGGTCTCGGAATTCCATTCAGTCCCGTTTGAACATCGTGCGCAAAACGAGCAATGTTTCGCGAAATTTTTATCGCGTCAAATGGAAACTCCTCTTACCTGTAATTCTGCTTGTGAGACGTCGATCTCACCCCTGTAGACGAACTCTATAATGAACTTGAGATCGTTGAAACAGACGTCCTGCGGCATGATGATGGTCGGGTGCTTGCAGGGATTCGAAAGCAGAAGCTTCTGGAAATAGGAACTGCACGCCGATAGTACCACCTGCGCAAACGAAAGGAAGCATCAGTGCTAGCTTTGGAACTATGAGGGGAGAAGATAGGGTATCAACGCTAAAATACGAAACTGTTTGTTCGGCTTACCTTGTGCGCTTTCAGGGAAGCTTCGTTGCAGGCCAGCGTAACGTCGACGAACGCTTCGGTCTGCAGAAGTTGGTGGAAAACGGACGTCATGTTTGACTGGTAGTTGTTCCAGCGCAGGCAGTAGTGCTGCCCGGCCATGCCGCCGCTGCAACAAAAACACCAGATCGGTTCGGTTACGTCCCGTTTTCCCTTCTATCTTTCTTGTTCTGTGTCTCCGAGTCGCGCTGCCGACATCTGTCGAAAAGTCATCGAAGACTTTCGTCCCACATCCCACCCACCCTTAGCACACACGCAGGCACGCATGCAGAGAGCCACGTACACGCACAGGCACACACAAGAACACATCGTTCCTCAGTGCCCTTCCGCCTTCAAGATCGATCCGCAAAGCGGGATAGTACCTGTAGTGCACGCCCCAATAACGATCTGTCTCCATGAAATATTCTTTAGCTTTTCTTTTCCGTCACGGTTGGAGGAAGATATCGGGTGACGTTCTTACGAAGGAAGCAGAGGAGGCGAGGCCGAGATAAGGTGCGTGGCCGAAACCGGTGATAGAAGGAAAGTCGATAGAGGCGATCGGTGACGGACAAGGCGGTCGATAGACAAGAAAATCGGTAATAAAATACAGGGTGGTGGAGAAGGGGAAGGAAAAGGATGGTTCACGGAAACAAACTGGATGTAGCACAATATCGGTCTCTTCCGGAAGAGTATCGAAAGCAGAGAAATAAATGGAAAAAGAACACTTTCCTCGTGGTTTCGAGCGAAGCCGACAAACGTTAACAATGATCGACGACCGACACCAACTTCCCTCGAGTTTCGCAACAAGGTGCGAGCGAGCGCGCGCGATCTCGAGGCAACGAACGTTCGAACCGGCTCGGAAAGAAGAAAACGAGGTAGGAAGAACGAACGATGACGATCGGGACGTATTATTCGTGACTGGTCGTCATTAATTTTTGCGGCGGTTCGACGTGCAGGCGAAGATGGATAGAGCGACGCGTGTTACGCGTATCAGCGCGAATTGACACCACAAAAGTAAACGAAGAAGTTCGGGCGTTGGTCTGCTTCTCGCAACATTCACCTGTTCTGTGGACCGTGCTTTATCTGCCTCTATCTATGTGACTCTTTATACGGGCCATTCCGACCGTTATCTATCCGTAGGAACACGGACTTTTATCAGTTGCTTAGACGTGCGCCGATAACGTGAAAACTTTAAGCTCTTTCGTCTCTCGCCTCGTCTCGTCTTCGTTCCGCTCGTTCGCCGCTTCGCACCGGATTCCTTTGTGTTTCTCGGCTACCGGATCTCTCTTCTAGGGTACCATTTCGCTGGTACACACAGAGCCACCGATCGACGCGCCGCGACGGGTCGTCAGCCGATCCGCGCGTCGACGCAAATAGAATCAACAGCGAACCGCGACAGGCCAATCCGTATCGCCTCGTATTCGCATGTACACGGATCCGTCGCGATCGATTAGCGATCGTTTACCGATGTAAACGGCCAGTTCGCGTTACACGAGCAATCGCCGGCCGTGCATTATCGGCGAGTCGCTTTCGTCCAAAGGTTTGTATCTATCGCGCAGATAGCGCGAGCGAACGGGCGAGAGCGCACCTGGCGCGCTTACCTGTCGGTTTTTGCCAGCTATTCGCTACAGCCGCGTTTCACACGAGCACGCGCGGCCCCGCGCGCACACGCTCGTACGGTGTCGAACGCCCATTCGATACGATACACACGTCGCAAGTACGTGCATCGATATCAGGAAATTGGGTTAGCCGGGTACCGCCGTGCTTCGACACGAACTGATAAATGCGCGATAACGGCCAGGGAATGGCGACGAATCGATGATAATCGATCAACTCGAGTCCTCCGCGTCCCCGGTAACAAACAAGGAGAAGAGAGTGCGTTCTCTTCTCGGTTTGTACGATGGAAACCGGGAAATTCGATTCGTTAACGAGAGATATCGGTGGCTACGCTCGAGCTTTCTTCCACTCGACGTATCCACAGAACAATGCCGACTCTCGGAAGGTTCGCTCGAGAATAATGATCGAGAGGATAGAGAGAAAGAGCGCGTAGACTGAAACGATGCGTTACGTTTCAAGGGAGAGACAGAGCGCGACGCGAGCCGAGCCGCGAAAACAACGCTGTCGATACATCAGAGTGGGCCGCGATCTCGAGCGCGAATGAAACGCGAATCGAACCGAACCTATACGAACCGGCGCGGCGCGGCGCGGCGCGATCGATTCTCTTGCCTACCCGCTATCGCGGACCCGATCGAATCGATCGATACGCTTTCTCGACGGTCGATCTTTCGCGCGTGTACACCCGATCTCCACGGTTCTACGCGGTTTCTCTTGAGTTATATAGGCATCCTTTAACTATTTTCTCGGTACTTTCACTCACATCGGCGCGGGGCTTTACGCGAGGCTCGACTAGCTAGCGCTTCGACGAAACGGTACGCGCACGGAAGCTCCGCGAATCGAACGGGGAAGCCTCGGTGGTATTGGTTCGGGTCGACCGTTCTCCAACCGAGAAACGAATTCGAATGACCCGCCGTTCCCGGCGTTTATGTACTCAACATAAAAACGCGAAACGCGCGTTCAATCGCAGGAGGAAACGGCGATAGATAACCGGTGCGAAGCAGGATAAACGAGCGCGTCGTTAACGACAACCGCGTTACGCGAAAATACGAGGCACGAAACGGCGCGGATAGTAGCTCAGGTGTAGCGGCGACAGCCAAGTTGAATGTTTCACTTACAGGTTCGAGAAACCGCTCGTCCGGTCGTCGTCGAAAGTTGATTTTCGTGAAAAGGAAAGCAATCGCGTGTAATGGACGGAGAGGCGGCGGCGGCTTGTCGGTAAACGATCGGGCTCGGTTCAGTTCAGTTCACTGGCGAAAAATCAACCGAGAAAATGTATATCTCGTGTATCCCGGACTCGTGTACTCGTCGCGTACACGACGCTCATCCCTCGAAAGCGCGCGCGTTCGCGCTTTCTTTCGC